CGCTGCGATGGGCCGAAGCATCACCACCATCTCCATTGCTCATAGGCTCACCACCATCAAGGGTTCGGACGTGATCTATGTGCTCAAGAACGGCCGTTGCTGCGAGCAGGGTTCCCATGAAGAGCTCATGGAGAGGCAGGGCGAGTACTACAGCATGGCCAAGTTGCAGCAGGCCCACGCTGAGGAGCCCGAGGAGGAGACTGCGACGATGACGCCAGCGCCGGTTCCGCGGGCTGGCACACGTAGGTTTGGCCTGCAGAAATCGATGTCGATGCGCCACAGCGGCTCAGTGCTCAGCTTTTTGGAAGGGGCCCTCGACATGATGGATCCGGAGGTACGAGAAACGCCCCGAATCTGGGGCAGACTCTTTGGGCTCATGAGGCTTTACTGGTGGGTCTGGCCACTTGCCTTCGTGATCATCGTGGCAGAAGCGGCCGCTGCGCCTCTCGAGGCCATCTTCTTCAATGCCGCCATTATGTCACTCTTCGAAAGCGTCACGGAGGGCCTGGATGCCATGTACCCCAAGCTGGACCAGGCGGTCCTGTGCCTGCTGCTCGTCGGTGTGGGCTCGGGCGTGGCTACGCTGTGTCAGAGCGCCCTGTTCACCTACCTGCAGGAGTGCTTGTGCATGATCCTGCGGAAGATGGCCTTCGCGTCAACCATCAAGATGGACATGGCCTTCTTTGATGCCCCGGAGAACCAGACGGGGAGCATCCTGGTGTCCTTGGAGAGGCACATGAACCGTGTTGGGCAGATGCTGGGCATCCAGCTCGGCAACTCCACCGGCGCCATCTTCACCTGCCTCATCAGCATTGGCTTGAGCTTCTTCGGATCTTGGGTGCTGGCCTTGATTCTCCTTGCCCTGATGCCCATCTGCGGAGTGCTGGGCCTGGCCGTGGCCTCCTGCGCCGCCCGGGTGGAGCAAAAGGGGGAGGGTGCCTACCAGAAGTCGGGGAAGGAGACGGCCGAAGCAGCGACGGCCATTCGAACCGTGAGGGCACTGGGGGCCGAAGAGCACACCTTGGAAATCATCAACGAGTCCTTGGATGTCCTAACCGAGGTGAACACGACGAAGTCCTGGAAGCTGGGCGTATCCCTGGGCTTGAACATGTGCATGATCCAGGTCATCTATCTGGCAGGATTCGGGATGAGTGCCGCCTGCATTCAGTATTGGAACTTCGATGCCCATGAGGTGCTTATGACCCTCTTCTGCGTCGTCTTCGGCGTGATGTCAGTGAGTTCCATCGTGCAGTACATCCCTGACTCCGCATCCGGCCACCATGCGGCCGTGGAGGTCTTCCGCCTCATCGACCAGGTCTCCAAGATCGATGCCACAGAGCCGACCGGACACATCGAGAGCATTGGAGACGGCTCCATTGAGTTCAAGGATGTCTACTTCTGGTACCCCCACCGGCCCGAGGCGCGGGTGCTCAAGAAGCTCAACTTGACCATTGAGAAAGGTCAGGCAGTCGCCCTGGTGGGCTTCTCCGGCAGTGGCAAGTCCACCGTGATCCAGCTTCTCCAGCGCTTCTACGACCCGCAAGCAGGTTCCATCCAAGTCGGCGGCCAGAACTTGCGGGACCTCAACGTGGCATTCTGGCGCAAGCAGATTGGCATGGTAGGACAGGAGCCGGTGCTCTTTGATGTAACCTTGGAGGAGAACGTGAGGTATGGCCTTCCTGAGGCCACGGATGAGCAGGTGAAGGATGCAGCCAGAGCGGCGAACATGGACTATGTCTTCACGGGATCTGTGAAGTGGAGCGACCGAGTCGGGCTTCGAGGAGAGAAGTTGTCCGGTGGCCAGAAGCAGCGCTGTGCCATTGCCAGGGCTCTCCTGCGTCAGCCGCAGTTCATGCTTTTGGATGAGGCGACGAGTGCTCTGGACTCTACGTCCGAGCGCTTGGTGCAGTTGGCGATGCAGGAGGCCAGGGTGGGGAAGACCACGATCACGGTGGCTCACCGCCTTTCCACGATTCAGAACTCGGACAAGATCTTCGTGATGGCCAGTGGCCAAGTCGTGGAATCAGGCACCTACCAGGAGCTCATCCATCTGGATGGAAGCTTCGCAAAGCTGGCGGCCCGCAGTTTGTGATTTTTTTTGAGTCTTCTTTTCCAAGTTTCCCGCCCTGCGGGTTCCTCCAGGGCCTGTTTTGACTCATGGTTATGAATCATGAACCTTTTATCATCTTGCATGTTCTCGCGCTGAGCAGAGCTTGTGCGCGAATGTGCCGTGCGGCTGACAGGAGACCTTGAGCCCGCGAGAGAGCGAGATAGTCTTGTGATCCGGCCGGCACAGGCTGCGGATAAGCTAACAGGATAAATTTTGTATTTGCAGCTGTGGTGCTTGATCGTGAGCAATGTCATATCACGTGCTTGGCAGAAGTCTAGGCATACTTAGAGACGGCGGAAGGCCCTTGTTTTCGCCATGAGGTTGGACGGCATTCAGAACACCACGGCGGAATTGTAGATGAATAGACGCGGGACGCAGTGACCGAAGCAACAATGGAAAGATAAAACAGCAAAGCACAGTTTTAGCACTGCCAAGTGTCCGACTGGTTACCGATGGCGAAGATCATTCGGCGCACCGCCGCTGCACGGTGTAATCTCCAGAATTCACGTGGAACCGGGGCCCAGCAATCAATCGGGCCTCGGCCGGACAGCAGAAACTGATGGTTATGACGAGAGCTCATGGCCTGACTGCTGACCTTTCGACACAAAGCTGCTTTCCGAGTGTGCATGCTTGACCCAACTCTTGATCTCGACGGAGCCTTCGCCCCCAAAGCCGGAAATCCGCCCCGAGGCCGCCTGCATCCGGCTCCGGCGGCGCCTGAGCGCCTGAGAGGGCGGAAACGAGCCGCGAATGTCTAGACGCCTGCGGTTGTGTCGTCCGGAAGCGAGACGAGGCTGTCTCTGGGGAGCGAGATCGCTCTCTGGCTTTAGTGGGGTCCCGGCAAGTGCTAATTCCCGCAGGAGTTGCATAGCTCAGATGTCCGCGTCGGCATAAAGCTCCATCCAAGCGGAAGTTAGATAAGCCATGCAGCAAGAATTAGAATGCAGACTCGCGGGGGGACCTTGCTTTTGTTGACGGAGGCTTTTGGCACGTGCACTTGGCACTGCCAACATGCCACAATGCATAGTTGATAGGGTAAGGGGGATTCGAATATTAGCTCTGTTGCGGGCCTTCTTGTGATGAAGCTCGTCTGTTTCGTGAATCTGGCAGGCACCAGGAGCAAGAGCATAGGCTCCGTCGTCTCCAGAACGGGTTTAATTAGACTGGTATGTTGACAGCTACTTGGTCATGACATTGGCATGACCACAGAACTGGGTATCATTGCTCAGTTGTTACGACGACTGTAGCATTCCTACTCTGCCTGCATTGCTTGCATGCTTCAGATGCATTAATTGGACACTGAACCCAACACCGGAAATGCGGATCGTTACTTAGAAAAGGCAACACCCTGCCACCCTGTCAACCTATAGTTGTGTCGCTGCATTTGGTGGCGGTTGTCGGAGCGTTGGAGTTGTGGTGCCTGCCCGAAAGCACAGCAAAATCGCTGTGTCACTCAGAACGTCCGTACTGCATGCCGGCCTCTCAGAATCAGAGGCGTTCCTGAACTGCGTAGAGATTTTCAGGAACACGCAGCACAAGGATTCTCGTTGTCAGTGTTGGGGTCTTTTTGGTTGGGTAGTTGATGCGAAATTACTGTGCAGCGTTGGCGACCGTTGGCAAGCGTTCACGAGCGGCGCGCCGATGCGGGGGAATTCCACAGGCGTGTCCTGGAGGGTTCTGGAAAGGGCCAAGCAAGGAAACTGGCGAGATAAGGGGGAATGCCACCCTGGCATTCACCGGTCCGGAATGCTCAAGCAAAGGGGCAGGTTTTTACGTGGGGAAGTTTTATGTGAGGCGGGTCCAGGCGTGTCGTGTAGGGATTCTGGAATCTGGCGGGGTGGCTTCTACCAAGTTGGGGGTGCTATGCACAGATGTCGATGACCTTGAGGGTGGGTTTGGAAAGGTTCATAGCTTGGAGTCTGAGAGGAAGCTGCAGGACGTCTTCCACGGGCCGTGTGAGGTCCGCCAGCGCACAGATACACCCACCAAGGTCATGGTCGAAGCCCTTAGCCGCCTTAGTCAATTGTCTTCCGTCAGCTCTCATCAAAAATCTGAACCATGAAGCCTTGACCCTGACAGAGGGGCTTTGGAGGTTGCACTGGCGCGCGCTGTTTGAGTTTTGAGCTCCCACGGACACCGGAGCCTGGCAATCCCGGGCTGGCACAGCGCAATCTAGAATCGTTCCGGATGGAAGGGCGCAGGCTGTTTATGAAGTTTCAGGCTTAAGCTCCTCCGAAGCCTGTACATAAACCCCGCTGTAGCCCTGAACCATCTCGACTACTCTGCCCGCGCTTGAGTGGCGGGAACTGAGTTGCTTTGGCTCTAGATTCCCGAGGGTGTCAACGACATAAGCTTCGGGGTATGGTGTATTTCATGTCCTTTATTTATCATGCTTCCTGACAGAAGAGCTCCACTAACCATCACAGCCTTTGCACTGCACCCTTGGCCTCGTAATCCGGTCGGGCCCAATTTTGGGGGTTGATTTGCTGTGGTTTGTCTAAACGGCCAAGGCTTCCGGTTGCGACTCCCTGCCCTCGACACATGCATGATTCGGACTCGCATGGGCAGCTCCGTTTTGGTCCCCTTATCTGCTTGTCCAACGCCTGAAATGCTTCCGTAGTTGTCAGCGCTCAAGCGCCCACATTCTCTCATGATAGTCGTCCATGCTTTTGGGTTTCGGGGATGTGGTGTAGGAGTTCGCCTGCACTCTGAACCGCAGTTGCTTGCAATGATTTTGTCATACGACTGATCGCAGTTGCATGGCTTTTGTTCGGCTTGTTCGGCTGATGGCAGTTGCAGAGACCGGATTCAAGGAAAATACCAGTGTTGTTCTTCTGGTTTCGATTCTGTGCTTCGCAGAACTGTTTGGATTTGCCTGTTTGCAGCTGCCATGGCGCTGAGGTTCCACTGGATCAGGTCCGACGTCCCAAATAGTGCAAAGCTAACCCTAAACCCCACAAAGACACCAAAGTCGAAACCTTAGCGTGTCGCTGGGGGTGGGCCAGGCCGCTAAGATTTCGAGCTTAAGTTGTTTTGCCTGCAGCCCTCCCCAAGGGCCCTGCATAATCAATAGATGTGAAATACGCTTGAAATATTTGTGAAATGCGAGATTCAAGTGACCTGAGAGGTTAAAGGTCTATGAGGGTCCACGCCTGTAAGAAAACTGCAAAAGCCCCCTGGGCCTCGACTCAGCCATTGTTCCTTAGCCAGCACTGCGCTAGGTCTGGGGGTTTTGGAGGTATCGCTCGGGTTGGAGAAGCGACCGTTTTGGCTATTTTGGCTTTTCGGAGCGGTGGGGTGGGTGTCCAGGGAGATGAAACAAGGCATTCGGGCCCGTCTCTGCCCGTCTCTCCTTCTTCGTCCGTCTCTCTCTCTCTCTGCCTCTTCCTCCCTTGCACTCCCCCAGTACAACTTCAGGGTTTCAGGTGTCGGTCCAGAGGTTCAGTCTGACCTGCTTGCCAAGTGTGCCACTGGCGATGGTCATCGCCACGGCCTATCTTTTCTACGCAGCTTCACTGCATACATGCGATCTTTAGTCAGGGCGAGGTGTTTGCAAAATTTGTGCGTTTGTCGGGCTTGTGACGGGGCCTCCGCAACTGCTAGTCGGCTAGTCTTGGCATTACACCTGATCCTCACATATAGACTATAGCACAGATGCAGTGCACTGCACCGGTTGTGTGCTGGCGTGGAATGCAGTGACAGCGTTGCGATGTGTCCCGGCTCTTGGTGGCACAGTTTCCCAATCCGCCTTCCCAAAATTAAGATGCCGCCTACTCCGTGGCAGGTTGGTTGGAGTCTCGGAATGCCGTAGGTACGGCTTCGCAAGTCGCCATTACACGCCCAGGTCGCGCAGTACAAGCCATCGCAGAAGAAGGCGAAGCTTCTGCAGGTGCGGAGTTTGTTCGCTTCTTCCGAGGAAGCAGGGGGGTTGTGGTTCAAGCAGCAGCACGGGAGCCCGCACACCCTGTGTACGCGCGTCCGAGCTATTCGAAGCTTGGAGTCGCATAGGCCGAGAGCTCTGAGAATTTCCAAAAATCTTACAACTTACAACCTATTGCAATTTTTTGGTACTTGTAACCTCGCATCATCTCACATCCAGAGCCTTCAGGATGTGAATGTTTCGGATTTGCCCCAAAGCATTGAAGATCTGAAGGTGGCGGCGAAGTCCGAAGCCCGAACAGTAAGACTATTTCAATGCTCTCTTCCTGGCCCGACAGGAGATGGACATGAAGGTCACTCACAAGCCAGCAGAGTGCTTTCTCCAAGCAGGCACGCATCCCGAGCCTCTTTTGGCTATGGGTGCCTTTGAATTCGTGAGGGCTCGTGAGGATTCAATTGACCATTGACGGTGTTGGTGGTAGTGCGTGTTTGCAGCGACTGGGGTTCGCAGAGTTTGATGCCGGATCCAGGTTCTGCAAAACATGGCTGCGGCTCAAGAGTCCAGCATGGACAGACACGACACATCTCAGCAGGCAGAACTCCACTGTTGCCATAGCACTTTGCAACGTCTTCAGAACGCAGAGCGTCGAAACTCAGAAAGCAGAGCCTCCCTTGAGCGGTTGGATGGAAATGTCATTCGATCAGCGGGGCGATGGGGATGAGCAACTTGATGAGGCGGCAACTGCAATCATGTTGAGGCGCTTACCATGCAAGTTGATGATCGACAGCTTTCTGGAGATTTTGAACCAGTTCTGGCCAGGCCGCTACAATTTCGTTTACGTGCCCCATGACAAGTCACGGGCACGGAATGTGGCCTTGGCCTTCGTGAACTTCACGGACAGTGAATCAGCTAGGATGGCATATGCGTACTTTCAGGGACGCGCCCATCCGATGGACACCCACCTTGGTCGTCACATTCGTGTTTGTCAAGCAGACGTCCAGGGACTCAATCTCAACCTGGCATATTTTATCGCCAGGAGTGGCTTCAGTGATATGGATAATCCCCATGCGCCTCGAGTCTTCGAGAACGGTCAGCGGATCGACCTCTTGGAGGCTGTTAAGAAGCACGTGACCATGCAACTTGTGGCACAGGCAAGCCGGCACATGAAGGCCGTCGACGATGTCCGGGCGAGAAGAGAGGCCCGGAAGGACTGTCGCAAAGATGCCTATGTGCCGCCCGTGCCACAAGCTCCCGGACGGGACGCTTGGCATTCAGACCGGGACAGCAGCGGATCGTCTACGCGGCTACGGCGAGCTTCCGAAGGGACCGATCCCAGCGGCAGCAGCTCTTCGAGCCATTCGACGATACACCGACGTGGTCGTTGGGAAGGCCTTGAACCACTCCTCGATTCTGGCCTAGCAGCGGTGCAACCTGACGGCTCCGTCCATTTTTTTCTTTAATTCGCTTGGCCCGAGGCCCGTGTCCATCCGTACCCGGGATTCTTTCCTAATGTTCGATGAACAATGCGTCTTGGACGCAGGCTGCAGGGTGGGGCGATGTCGCATTGCAAGCACTGACCGGTTTTCCTCCAATCCACATTGATGATAAGGCACCTTGCGAGTTCAGAGAATTCCCTGGTGCCCCATCACATCATCTCCGGCATAGGAGAACTTTGCCAACATCTCTGACCTTCTCTCCCTCCTCGAAACCCCTCCACCCAGTTCGCGAGATGCAGCTTCGGTCATATCACCGAGGCAGTGGTGCTGACTACACCACTTTCAATTTTTTGCAATAGTTTTCTTCGCAGGTTTGACACATAGCCTGGTGTCCATGTGAATACACGTCCTGTCGGATTGTCCTGTTCAAAAGCGGGATGACATAACATAAGTTCTGCAAGACTGGTTGGATTCTGTCAGTTGGCCTACAACAGGGTGGAAGATCACACATGGACTGTACTCGAGTGCAATCGCAGCACTGGCGAGCAGCCACGCACAGAACCACAGCACAGATGAGTGGTTGCAGGAGTTGCAGTGACGACAGTTGTGGGGTCAGGTTGAAGGCTGAAGACTCTGCACCAGCACAGCAGTGCCTTTCCTTTTTCATCCTCCGTCACGGAGTCCCCAACAAGCAGCCAAGAGCGTCTTGACCCCATGACTCCTAGGCTTCTGGGCGCAAGAGCGCTTCCTTTTCGCACGGACAAAAGCGCTGCAGCCCAGAGTCCCAGAAGTGCCCAGTGCTAGAAACGCATCCGGTAGCCCTGGAAGGAGACGGTGACCTGGTCCATGTCCACTACACCAGCCGCTGGGACCAGTTGAGCTTTGAAGCAGCTTCGGGCGAGGACCTAATCTAGGCTCAGAGGGCACGGGACTCTTTGGAGGCTACTCCACAATCCTGACTGTGATGATTTGTGATGCTTTGGCGAGAAACGCATGCATACGAAGAGAATGACAGGGACCACCGTGGTGATGCTGATGGTGGTTCCTGCTCTTCGACATGTGAGTTCAGAACCTGAAGCTCTGAACCACATTGTAGTGTCTGAATCCTTGATCCCCTGACCTGTTTGTAGATCCCGCGTCGTTGTCGTTGTCGTTGTTTTGGTCCCAGGCGCTAAACCCGAAGCCCAAAACCGTTTTCCGTCCCCATGCGGGAGGCACACCAATCTAAGAACCCCGAGCAAGGACTCCCCTCGCTTCAGGTTTCCTCAAAAAGGAGGGGACGCAGTTCGAAAGTACTAGGGGCGGTGATCCGTTCCTCTCTTGCAATCCGGGGCCAAGGGTTCACGGACGGGCAGGGCTGTTTGCGGAGGCGGTGGGGCGTTGAGGGTTGATGATCCTGTTCAGGCTTGCGGTGTTTGTTTAGGCGCGGGGTTAGTGTTCTGGCATAATCCTGCAGGGCCCAGGGGCAGATGTCTCTTTTGAGGGAGGTCGCCGGAAATTCATGCCCGCACCTTGAGATCTAAACTCGCAGAGTCTACATCTAAAGGTTCCGCTATCCTGGACCGTCTAGTGTACACGGAAAGTTAAGAGATGAAACGCCTCGTCTTGGGCCATAGAACTCAGGACGATAAAGCTTAGCATGCATGTTACGAACTCATCACTCACCTCGCCGAGTGGCGAGAACATCGCCCAAAGCCCTAAAATGGATCCTGAAAATTGACGGCGGTATTAAAGACGTGCTTCCGTTGCTTTTGTTTAGCATGCATTAATGTGACCCTTTGGAAAGAGAAATTCCGGAAGGTTAGCCATGCGGCTGGCTTCCCAGTGTGTTTCGGCTCTTTTGTTTGCAAAGACTGCGCGAAAAGAGCGCCGAAAATGATGGCAACACACACTAGAGGACAGTGAACCCTTGGCCCCCGCGGTACAGGATGTGCGGTTACGAAAGGCCGGAAGCTAAACGAAACAAAGGCAGAAGGCATGCACTAGTCTACCTTTTTCGTCCTGACAGACACACACACACACACGCATACACGGCAGCTGTTGAGACGTGTGTGTGTGTGTGTGTGAGCTTCAGTAGATTGGGAGGTATGTGTTCAAGCTGGGCAAGTGCAAAGATCACTCCAAGCCTGAGTGCATGAAGGGCTTTCAGTCCGCCATGTCGCGGTCTCAGCATTCTTGGGATTTAGGTTGAGGGGTTGGGGGGGTTGTGCTGTATGTTCCGCGAGTTTTCGGGCGTTATCTTGATTGTTTTTGGTTTTTTCTGGCTCTTTGGGTGCTGTCGGCCATTTTTGTTGCCCGGGTTGTGGTTTGGAGTTGTGACGGCTTTGGGCCATGAGGCCCGGAGGCTTGTGCAGCGTAGGTCGACTTCAGTGCTTTAAGGTTCGGGCAGATTTTGGTTCTGCTGACACGACCTGACATCCCAAACCTACCACGGGCTGTGCGGGCGGTCGGGTATGCAAAATGCGAGAGCCCGGCCATCATAAGTGCTACAATCATGATGCGAAATCTCCTAAAACAACCCACTCCAGGATCTTCGGCAGAACTCGGACTGCCTTCGAGGAATAAGGCTTTTGGGGTTCAGGGTTTAGAGCTGCGCTTCAGAGCGTGGGCGGAATCGCTGGCTGATACTAAGACCCAGCTGTACAAAAGGGTCAAGGGTTTAGGAAAGGAATGCTACCCTAAACTCTGAAGTTGGTTCTGGGTTCTATCGTACGTATGCTCCTAGTCGCTGCTCTCGCCAGTGAGAGTGGATTGTGCGGAGCCTTGCCTGCTTTGTGCGAGAGTGAGAGTCCAAACCCTAGATGTCAATTCCGAACTCAAGAACCCAACCACAAAATACCCAGTGCGAGTGGCAGAACCCAAGGTGAGCTGAAAACCCTAAACCCCAATTCCTAAATGCCTGTGCCAACAAAATGCGTCACGCCGACCTGCTAGCGTGGAACCTCGCCTGGCTTGTCCGAGTTGTGAGAGCGTAAGCCCAACATGCCCACTAAAAAAACCCTCTGATCCGAAAGCCAAGCAGGCCAGAACCCTAAATCCAAAACCCAAACCCAACGACCTGAAACCGAGAACCCGAGATCCTAGGGAAAAAGGTCTGTTAAAACTTTTACACAACCCCGCAAGAACCTGTCTAAGAAGTCGTAACAAAAATATCCCAACATCCCAAACCCGAGTCGAAGCGGCTCTCTTACTTGCCGAACGTCCTGAACTGTCTCGAAGAACGCCCTAAATTTTAAAGCCCTGGCCCGCGCAATGCTGGCTCGTCCCAGCTAGGTGGGAGGCAAGAGCCCTAAGCCCAAAAACGGAAGACCGAAAACTTCCATGAGGCTGGGCATGTGCGCGGGGGAGAAGCGGAAGGAATCGGCCCAAGCCAGCAGATAGCATGGTGAAGCATAGGATAAGTGAGTAGAATGGAGTGGAATGTCATGAAATATAATGGAAAAAACTTTACAGGACATAGTATGTGTATCCCTTGGATTAAATTTGAGAGGGTAGTGCTTATCAGCTACATAAGTGTAGCATTTGTAAGCCTAAGGAGGTTGCCATGCGGGTGGTGGGTAGTGATTGGGATGTCGGGTTTCGGGTTCAAGGATTTCGGGTTTGAGGGTTGGGGGGTTCAGGGCTTGTGGGATCGTTTGTTGAGCTCGAGTTCTCAGATTAGTCAGGGCATCCACGTTCGACACAAGAAACAGAGAAGCGCCATGTGTACTGATACTGCTTACCAGGTGCAGGATGATGGCTTGTTCTATTTCATTAACCGCTGCTAAGTTGCGTCACAGTACTCTCGAGGATAGCGATGCGCACCGTCTCATCGTGGCTATGCGAACGCTGAACCCTTAATGCGGGAGTCTCAACCCAGTCTCAGTTTTTGGGCCACAAACAAAGCGCCGGGGAAGTAGGTAGGTGGGGCGGGGCTCAGTTGGTGACTGTCCGACGCTGCCATGTCGCAAGCTCCGGTGGTCTTTGAATATTGGCAAAGGAGAGTAGAGCGCACCTCTTGCCAAGTGAAATTAGGGATCTCTGTAGCCGCAACTGCTACTGGCAATACTGATGATCGTGATACTATTGTTGTCAGTAGTAGTATCAGCAAATTATGGGTGACTTCAATTAGCCACACTGGGCCGTTGAAAAGGGACGTTTCTGGCTGTCAGAGCGTGCAATCTGGAGGCCACCGTCCCGCCCAAGCTCGGTTACGACAAGAAGGTGGTGTTGTACAGTTGTATTGGTTTCAACGAGCAGCACCAGCAACATGCCGCGAACAGTGACTAGATCCACCCCGCAAAGTTCATCGTACTTAGCGGAAGGCCCTGAAATCGTGCTGGCTAGATGCATTGTGTGATCAGTTTTAGAGCAGCTAGTGTTGTCGATATCCGGTAGTTGGGCACAGGCGCTGTGGTATTGCGCATGGCAGCAAGAAAATCGACCTGTTATGATCGAAAAAAATACCCTGCGCATCAGTTTTACTCCTCATCGTTATCCTTTTCAGTTCCACCGTCAACATCGTCATCACCACTGCTACGGCGAGTATGAAGACTATGATCATCTGCAGGACGATCAGCCTTCTTGCCATAACTGTCACCTTGACAGCCGTCTCGTAGACGCCTGCACAGTCATCCCCGGTACTGTAGCTAACATGTCACTATCATCATTGCGGTCTCTTCTTCACCCTTACCGTTTCCATTATCACGACCATTGGCCTTGATTTTCAAGTTTTCGCTTTCTTGCTCTCCATTGTCGTGCTCTTTTTGCTCCCCCCCGGTTCGGCAATGGGCACCTGGCTTTTCCTTATGTGCACAGGCTGCTGCTTGATGCTTGTGGTCGGTCCACAACCACCCACCTGCCCACCCGCCCGCCCGCCCAGCCACCCACACACCAACCCAACACATGACCATTGTTATCTTCCTGTCATGGCTGCCACCGTCAGTTTCACAGTGTGACCACCATGTTTAGCACCACGATGTCACCGAGTCACCATTGTAGCGGCTCGAAGGCCTAAGGCTCTAGGCATGCTCAGGGGTCGGAGGCTCCCCGGAAGCCGATAACCCAAATCCAACCTCTTCAGGCTCGCCCTTCGGGAATTCGATCCGATGAGCATCTCATCTTCCACCTCGAAATGGTGGACATCGACAAAGCTTAGTCTGGGTTTGCATTTCTTTAGGTTTCGACTTCGGGCGCACCATAAGGCATCGGGTGATCTTGACTTGAGCAGGTCTTCATGCAGCGCTCTATTCGTGTTCGGCCGCTTGTTTTGGATACTTGTAGTCGTTGTCGTCGTTTGCGGCTTCGCTGCGTGATGTCCGTTAGAAGCATGACTTGAAGTTAGTTTGTTCTTTCGATGCAAAGATTGGCACGTAGCGAAGCTCTTCATGCCCGAGCCGGGCCTTGCAAAGCTTTCACCCCGCAGGAAAAACCAGCTGCATCCGAGTAGACAAAGCGTTTATGCTCCTCCCCTTCTCTGGGCTAGACCAGGGTTTGAAGGCTTACGTTCAAGTTAAGGGTGTTGTAGCAGAGAAGCAAATCACGGATCTAAAAAGGAGACCCGGTTTACCAATCGCTCCAATATTACCTTCTTTTGTCGACGCTGTGCTTCCGAGACTCAGATTTTCAGGCTCCCTGAAGCTGTCGAGCCTGAGGCCAAAAGACGCATGCACGACTTGACTCCAGAATCCCCGTGGCTCCTCACCTGCAACCTCGAAATTCGCCAACACGGTGGCTGCCCTTGGACCTGGGCAACCACCGGCAAATACCACAAGAGAAAGATGGCGTCCGTGCAGCACCCAGTGTCATTCAAGGAATGGGTTCTTTTCACATATAACCCTCGCAAGCAAGCCCAAAGCCTCGAACTACCTGTCCTGAGCCACAAGTCCCAATGGCTTGTTCCACCAGAGCCCCACGCAGTCAGCAGCTTTTTGCTGCCAGCCGCATCCGGCTTCGCAGCTTCCCTGGGGCGGAAGCGGGAGGGATCATGGCGCCGGGCTCCCAGGTCAACACGCATCAACTCAATCAGGTCTGAGGCTTGAGGGTCTAGCTTTGGGTTTATCGCGGCTATTGTCCAAAGATGGTGAAAGGCTGCAGTGGAGTCGTGGCTGCTATTACTCAGATATTGGAATGAGCCACCTGCAACATCACCGGTTTCTACTGCTGCTGCTGCGGCTGCTGCTACCACTATTATCATGACCACGACCACGACTGTGACGGCGACCACCCACGACGAGACGACTGCGAGGCAGACGACGACGACGACGACGACAACGGACGACGACGACTACTACTACTACTACGACGACGACGACGACTACTACTACCACTACGACTATGCCGATTCCGACGACAACGGCGGCAGCAGCCGCGACCCCGACGACGGCGCTGACAATAGAAAATCACACGTGTTCGGTTTTTACACGAGTGCACTGATATCTTGCTATTTTCTTGATCTTGCTTCCCTCCAGGTTCACACTGACAGTAATCCCCGTAGCAACCCTCACAGTAGCCTTGTGCACCAATTAAAGCTGCCAGAAACATGCTCCAGACTTGAAGCCGTCAGCCGTGCCGCCAGCTGTGCTCAGGCCAACGGGAGATGGGGTTCGCCTGCCCTCCCTGGCGACTTCCGCCTCTGCGGTGACGCTGCCGAAGCAAGGCCAGGCCCAGGCGTTTCAAGGAGGGTGGCGGATAGCAGGGTCTTAAACTCTTTTGTGGCTTTCGCAAGTTTTGAGGGTTCTCTCGGCAGGGTTTTGCTGAGTTGTCGGATTCCCGATTTTCGTGGTATGACTTTAGACTGTGCGTTTTCGTTGCTACGATCGGCCTTGAGGCTTTTGTTGGAGCACGACATGTTCAGGATCACGCGGACCTACGACCCAGAAGGCTTCAAGCCCTGCCCGCAAAAAGGAACGCTCAATCCCACCATGCTTGCCCTCCACGGCCCCTGAGACCTCCAGAATCAGACACGGAGCCCGAACCTTGCACGTTAAGCTCCAGGCTCAGAATCCGTGATGCTCGCAGCCCAAGCCCGAAGTTCTTCCAGTCGTGATGAGCCGTGGTTTCGCCCCAGCCGCGCGTCTCTCGTTTTCTGAACCCTTGGTCCTAGAACCGCCGCCAAGCCCGAAGCCTTCTGCATCGGTATTGGTGTCTGTGGGAGCAAACACCGCAAGCACTGGATGCCAAGCCTTCGTGAGGCGATGCGGAGATGCAACGCGCCACGAGCCAGACAGACCTGCGGCCGCTTTGCTGCGAGTTTGGTCGGTGTTATAACAGGGGCATTCAGAAGGGCCTCGTAGGGTTGGGAGAGTTCGGATGAGCTGAAGGATTCAGCCTGTCAGGGTTTCCGCTTTGAGGTCTTGGGGGCATCTTAGGTCCAGGGTTCAAAAGGGGTTTGGAGCACTTGGCCGCCACTTTCCCACCAGGTCACAGTCCAAACCAGCCTGGCCCAGTGCGAAGCCCAAGAGCGGGCTCGTGTCCGTCGGGCCCTCGGGTTTCCGCCACGGCCTGTTTCTTGGGATGCTGGGGCTTTGTCGTCGAGGCTGACGATTTTGTGGAAAGTTGTTCGAGCGGGAATTTCGGCGGCGGCGTCGGCACTTGCGCATTGGCACCCTTATTGCGAGTACCACTATCTCCTGTAAACTGTGCTGTGGTTGGCATGGCTGCTGGTAGTGTGCACGCTTCAAGCGCAACACATAATGTACGTGTCGTTGTTCGCGTCTTTTCCTGTGCACACTGGTGGTTGCTCTTACTTGTGTTAACTGCTGCGCTGTTTCAGTTGTTGAGGGCTGCTAGCTGCGAGCATTATTCTTGTTGTTCCCTCTGAGTTGTTCCAGGATCTTCCGCCCAATCAGGATTGACAGCTTCGGGGAACTAAGCCCTTGATCAGGAAGTCCCGGGAAAAATAGAGATAGCCCATGTCTTCCCCATGTGACCCTAAACCCTAAACCCTAAACCCTAAACCCTTAACTCCGAAAGCTTCCATGACCAATGAGACGAGCCAGAGCGGCCATGACCAACCCCCGCCCCTATGCGGTCACGTCACGGCTGCTGGCCTTTGAGCAACTTGCGCCGATGCCCCCAAACCGCCCTTTCAAGCCTCAGTCTCGCAGTCTCGCACCGACACGCTGTCCCTCTCACCGATCGATACCGCTGCATCCGAAATCGCGATATCGCGATCCGGATGTTGGGGTTGAAACCCAAGACTTGCATCAGCCTCCCAGCCCAAATCCCTCGACGGCCGCACACCCCTCACACGTGGAAAAGCACGGGAATTCCCAGACCACCTTTCCCTCACCCGAAACCCGAAACCCTGAAACCCTACACCCGTCCCCCCCCTTGCGAGGTGAAGTTCCGCGGCGATCATGGGATCTCCTTCGAGGGCACCCGGGTGTCGCACTCGGTGCTCCAGGCTGGGGGCTCGGTCCCTGGCGGTCCGAAAGTTTGTGCTTTTCAGGGCTAAGTTCCTGCTGTTGTATTCTTGTTGTTGAGTTCTGCCGAAATTTGGTCCTTGTTTTGGTATGCCGCTGCTCCTGCTGCTATTGCTGTTGGTACTATGTTGCTGGCTCCGCGAGTTTCTCTTACGATAGACGATCGACCTTCGAACGGTGATGTTCGTTGCTATCTTCCCCTCATCACTGAAATTCTTCATCACGGTGATGTCCTCCTACTTGTTGTCGTCTTCTGCTGCTCCGCCATGTTTACATTCCACTCCCTTGGGATGCTCGGGTGCTAGAGTCACTGGAGTTTGATGGTATATACCAGTTGGCACACCTTGCAACCATGAGCATGACAGCCGGGATGCACCTTGGGTGAGACTGGCGTTGAGTTACCGCAGCCGCTGTCTGCATCCGGCTCGCCCTCCTACCACCGCTTCTGCTATTGCTCCTCGCGCGGCTCCTCCTGCTGCTGCTGCTGCCGCTGCTCCTGCCACCTATTCATCGACCCAATCTCCTGAAGAATGAGCGCAGAGAGATTCGGGACAAGGCGTCTGTCGCAGTGTGTGAAATCCTTCTCAGGGCTCTCGTAGACATGAACCTTGTCTCGGCTCAGATGCATGGCCAGCGGACTCAGTAGCAAACTGAGGCAACATAATCAGCAGCGAAGTCGACGCAGCCGAACTCACCGCCAAGCCTCTCAGAATCTTTTTTCAGGCATACCAGCCTCTACTCGCCTAACTCCAACATGCTGACAAGCCTCGCCAAAAACTTTCAGACCCGAGCAACAGAGCCACCAGCCCCTAACCCGGCGTCACAGAGTCTCCGAGCGATTCCGAGCGTAGGAAGGAACTTCGAGAAGCGCCCTGTCCCTTCCAGCCCAGCTTCCCCAGCGACGCCATGAACCTCCTTGTGGGCTCTTACGACAGCGATGGCGAGGAGGAGCCAGCACCGCAAGGTACCGGGCAGTTCTTCCTTTTCGTGGTCAAACTTTGGATCACTTGAGGGTCCATGAACAAGCTCATAGAGAAGTGCGGCCCGTCAGATGCGTCATCATGAACATCTTGATGCCGTCTCGGAGTTCAACTTGTATTATAAAGATGACTACATGAGTTGTAATGCTATGTAAGGCTTCTTGATGTGATGATGCTGACAACTTTGAGAGGCCTCCGAAACTTGGAACCATGTAGTGGAGTACGCCGGAATCAAGAAATCGTAGCAACGATCCAGCAGCCCAAAACGGCAACCAAGCACAACGCGATTTCAACGGCTTCTGCGCAAACTGCGCAAACACTAAGTGTTCGCTGCCCAGCTCACCCCGAAGCAGCACGAACGCTTCACAACGCCAAGACCTAAACCCTAAATCTTGAACCCCTGCAATGGGTAAAGTGTTGGGTAGGCTAGCTTTGGAGTACTTTAACTTCTGAATGATATAGCAACTGATGCTGCTGGAGCGAAGTCTTGTCTGTTCTCATGTGTAGAGCTTGCTCCGCGTGGTAGCTGTACTGCTGGCCTTGGGGTAATATGCAGGTGGTGTTGTGTAGTGGAGTTTGGAGTGGGCCTTTGCAGTTAGCTAAAGCCTCTGCCATCGTGGCGTTCAACCAATCTAACAGGCCGGGACTAAAAGGGGTGTCAAAAAAAACAGAGCCCTGCAATGCAGACATCTTGGGACCACAGTCAGCACATAGAAATCTGGCCAGGAGCTTCAGCGATGATCCAGGATTCCCACCACAGACATCTAGAAAGATCCTACGCAAGCCGTGCCGGAAAGGATTGAGAAGCACTCCAAAGTTAGCTTTGAAGCGATCCTTCTCCAGGCCCTTTCGAAGACCCCCAGACAGCCTCTTTAGGAAAGCCTGAAAGCATTACTTGGAGGTTCATGGGTAGTTATAAGTGGGGTTATAAGTAGGGTAACTATAATTATAACTATAACCCATATTAGGGGACTTATAACTCCAGTTATAACTAACCATGAACCTCCAAGTGTCCAGCGGACGACAAAGCGCCCTTTACGAAAGCCGCCCCAGGGCTCCCCCGGCCGCCGGCCTTGGAGCCCAAGAAGGCTGAAGAGCCGCAGAAGCAGGTGGGCTTTATAGGGGCTTAAGAAGGTTGGGGAGGCTTTTGCTTCGGGTTTCTGGGTTTCAAAAGGTCCCTTTTGCTTAGGGGCGCTTCCGGGGATTTCAAGCGCTGAGCCCAAAACCCTTATGTAATCCTGCGCTCCGCAGATGTAGCGCTCAGGTGCAAGCGTCGGGCCGAGCTGTTTTCTTTTCTGACGTGTGGGAGTTTGCGAGCCCCGCAGGTTATGCCGGACGCAGATCCAGAACCGCAGGAAGTTCATGCATGCGGGTCTGGCTTGCTAGGCCCTACACAGACTTCCTTTTGTCATGTGATGTTTGTGCTGGGTAGCAGTTCAGATTCAGCTCACCGACGCCTAAATGGGAGGACTCAGCACTTCGGGCTCCTGGCTTTGGGAGCCCAGATCCCCTGTGTTGTTGGTTTGGGGCTGTGCATGCGCGAAACCCTCCACTCCGTATCTACAGAGTCAGCTCGACCCCTTAGCTCCTCCTGGGTTCGAGACGCGGGTGTAACGTTTCAGCTGGGCCGGGGACTTCTCGAGTGCTTTCAGGTGAGGGCTTCGTATCAAGCAAGCGCAGGGGTCGAAGGCTGCAGGTTTCAAGAGCTTCATCAAGTTCGCTCAGAGCAGCAAGAAGGAGCATCCTTCCGGACTTCATGGCCCGGATTGCGAGTGTGAGCACTGCGAGATGCTGATGCTGCAGCTCGGCGGCAGGGGCCGGATTGGCTACCACTAGCAGCCGAAACCGAGCCGGCGATGCCCTACTTCGGCTTGGCCAGTTGAAGCGGGGAATGGGATTTGGGGCATGCTCCGGGCATCGTCTCAGCGTTCCGAGGAGATTCATGGCCAAAAACCTGCAGACCAAGGGCATCCGCTTCAAATGCTCCCCGGCCAGCAGATTAGGCCCAAACTCTGCAGCCTTTTCAAGCGTTTGTTTAAGCGTGTTGGGATGCAGTGGCAGAAGGCACCGACAACTTGTCACGGCGTTTAAAGTCGCTCTGAACTCCAATCAAGTCGGTCCAGCTCCTGAACGTTCAATACGGTGCCTCAATCCGAAAGTCGTGAGTCGTGAACCCTACAATACTATCAAGCCGTTGCGCGCTCGGCGGTGTAACTGTGACGTGTGCACGGCAAAATCTCTTTTGGCATCTTGAGGTGCGCATGCATAAGCCGGCAAAGCGTGTGAATTATGATCTTTATGTTGCAAGGATATGCAAGGGCCGTCGAGCGCAGCAGGAAAGAAGCCTCCCTTCCGACGTAGTGAGGCCCTGAGAGCGCCACGCATCTATCATGCCAAGACAGCATAGCTCCCGAACAGAGCATGACCATGGTTGCTGCATGATTTGAAGGGATGCAATCGGGTCTGTGATGAGAGCCAACGCGGCCGACTTCCGATGTCACGACGGCACTGGGGTCTCGATTGAAACCGACGATCCTGGGAACTCCGAGAGCTGTTGGTGTGTAGACGCGATCGCGCGTCGAGAGTCGCGTGGGGAGGCCGATGTCCTCTCGAGTTCAGTGTCGCCTCTGCGGAGCGGACTGGAGGTGTTTCCCTATGCATGTGGCGAGAGCAAGCTTTCCGGACCCCGCTGATCTAAAGCTCGGCTCTGGTGATGGGTGGAGACAGGCACAGGCTTCGGGCCAGGGCGGTTGTGCATGCAATGAGAGGTAAGGGTGATGAGGGAGCTGAAATTTGGAGGACTGCGGTATGTCTGCAGCAGCCAAAGCCCCTTACACTGCCTTCGTAAGACCCGGAACCACTACGAACGACGGCAATCAACCCCTGACTCCTCAGGCAAGCTTTCCGGCGCGCTCTTCCAGTCCAAGGCGCGCGAGTCCCAAACCAAGCTCACAACAGCTCGTCAGCTTGTCAGTCCGCACCGAGGAAAGTTTAAGATGTCTTCAAGTGGCTAGGGTGTAGGCGCTTTCAAAAGCAACAATCCATAATGTGCGTTGATTGAGAAGTTCCAATGTTGGCTTCTTAAGAGAAGGGGCTGGCTTGCTTGCAGTGCTTTGAAGGCATTTCCGACACATGTTGGCTGGCCTCGGCGATTCAAGGGAGCCCACCCTGTCATTGTGCCCAAGAGTTCTCCGAGCCGAAACAGGTGATTGGACGTTCAAGCTGTCGGCACCCTTTCTAGAAAAAGAGAGAGAGAGATAGATAGATCGATCGATAGATAGCCAGGTAGGTACGGAGGTAAGTAGGTAGATAGATAGACAGAGAGAGGGACCAGAGAGGGATACATATATATATATATACACATGTATATATATATATATACATATATATATATATATATATATAAAATTATATACTTATGTATATATATATATATCCATCCACATACATTATATATATATATATGTATATGTATGTACGTATGTATGTATATGAGCCGCAACGGAAGAAAAACTAGCCACGCAGACAAGGGCGCGCCTTGAGGCAGTCTCTCTGTTCCTGTGACTGTGGTGCAGAAGAGCAAAACCGTTCATTCTCGTGCAATTCCCCCATGATCTAAAACAGTATGAGCCCTCCTAGAGAGCAATCCTTACAGTAAACCTTCCAGTTTCTAGAAACCCTTATAGACAACCCCCTAAACCCTAAACCCTAAAGCAACCCTAGGGTTTCGAGCAGCAAGGCGGCCGCGGCGGCTCACTTCAGAAAGAACCGCGCGGTCGAGCTTCAAGCGTTCAAGAGCCTCGGCCATGCCTCCGATCGGCTGGTAACGGATAACAAAGGGCCTTAACAAAAATGGGAATGCGGCCGTGTGGTAAGTCATGCTATACTAACTGTTACTAATACAGGGGTTTTAGGGACTGTTGTCATCCATTCTACTACTACTACTACTACTTGGGGTCTGCATAAAGGCACAGAGTGTAATCTAGCGCAACATGGCATGAAATGATGCTGATCTCATACTTTGACATTCCATCGCTGGTTGGGTTCTTGGGGCAGCCCGTGGGTCAGCTAGTGAGGCTTAATTACGCTTCTCGCTGGCCAAGATTGCATTGGACCTCTGATCTCGCACCCTCTGCGGATTGAGGAGGTCGCATGTGCACTGTGTCCCATTTTTCATCCGAAAACTGCCCCAGCCCAGCCGAGCTTCCCTGGACAAAACCGCAACTCAGGAAGGCAAAGATGCCCTCCCTGTTCCAGATTGGCCCATCCAAGGACCTCGGGCAGGCTTTTTGGATGGTTCAGTGCTTAGGTGTTTGCCAGGCGCGACATGCAAGGATGCAAAAAGGTGTTTAGGCGTTTGAGGTTGGCATACACCAACCTCCGGGTTCCAAGAAACGACCTCGCCCTGTGGCTTGGCCTGAGTACGGACCAAAGTTCAGGAGTGTACATAGGGAGCTTATAGAATCCCCTAAACCCTACTAAACCCTAATTTTAACCTTTTTCTCAGGAGGTGAAGGGGAGGCCTCCCGAAGAATTTCACAAGGATGAGGGCCGATATGGCGTTGCTCAAAGTGCTTATACTCGAAGATCCCTCAGTCAAAGGGGCTATATCCAAAAATTAGGACCGCGCTTAGTGAAGCCCCATGAGATTGCCAGTGTATCAAAGTGTATCTTCCTGTAGTCTTTTGGTATGTTTGCACCTAATGGTGTAATAATCAATAGCAATATTCAGTGTAATTATAATTCACTCATAGAAAATATAACTACAGCGACTTCTTGGGGCCATGCCATGTCCTCTTTCGAGGAGCAGCTGGCCGCGATCGCCCGTCAGAAGGCATTTGCCAGGGACGCTTGGCATAGTCTTACAGCCATATGACTCGATGGCACACGATTCATATATTCATGCTTATGCAGTCGGGGGTTTTGGGGCCAAAGCTGGTTGCATCTGTATCAGGTGCAAGCAGTGAGCGACTGAATGGTAGAGTGCATGTGAGTCGACATGCGCTAGTATAGTAGCGTGATCGTGCTCCGAGAAGGATGGTTTGGCAGCCGCGGGTTTGGCCTGGCCTTATTTTTGTAGGGTTGCTTCTTGCAGCATGAGTCGTCGCACACATTGCTGCAGGGCGGAGTTCATGCTGGAACAGTCTGGCGCCTGTGGTGTTGCACAGGGTGTGTTGTGGTACTACCTTGTTATTCCCTTGTTTGTCGGCGTCAATCCAGGCCTTTGGGCTCAGCCATGTCTACTTCAGGGTGTAGATGGGTGAATGTTGGTGTTCCAGGTGGGACCTGGATCGCATGTGCATGAGAGAGAAAGAAAGAGAGAGAGAGAGAGAGAGAGAGAGAGAGAGTGAGGAAGAGCCAAGCATAAATCCTGAAAGCTCTTAAGCCCAAGCTCGATTACAACTTGCGCTGAGTGGAACCATCACCCTGCCTCGCGACTCGCTCAGCTATGCAGGAGGCAAGAAAGATCCTAAGTTCAGACGAAACCCAAAGCTGACATCTAATCTCTGGCGCCCAACCCGCCGCTAGGGCATCTTTCAGGGTTTTGGGAGCTTTAGGGTTCGTAGGGCTTTGAGTCTGAGTCGTAGGTCCTGTTTTAATCATTGGCTCATCGAGGCTTTCTCTGTAGCATGGCAGGCAGGAGTGGACTCAGGTGCTGCGAGGCGTGCATTCTCGTCGGAGGCTTCTGCGGAGTAGGCTCGCACGCATGGCTGACGTTCCCATGATGAGGCAGCAGTCGTTTTTTGTCATGTTAAGCTATCATCATCATCATCATCACCAGCACATTCCAAGCTTTTCTGCCAAGCCTCTAGAACTCTAGAATTTTTCTCTGCAGGACACCTTCTAAGGGGCTTCTCGTAGCAAGAGCTTTGCGTCGACACAACCGAGGATTGCGTCCTGGGGAAGAGGCCGGTGGATGAGGACAGTTACGATGTAAAAGAAACTTCTTGTTTGTGTACGGGTACATCCCGGCAAGTGTTGATATTGTAATCAGCATCTCGCTGCTACAACGACGACCATGCCAGAAAGCGACATGGCGGGGACGAGGACGACCACGAACAGGACGGAGACGACGGCGACAACGGTCATGGCAGCGATGACTATTGAGTTGGAGCGGTGGCATGGGTGGTCTATAGAAGTAGTCACACAGGCGGAGGAGGCGGCGTCGTAGTAGTCCTAGTTATAGAAGAAGACGTAGCAGCAGTAGCTAGAGTAGCAACATGAAGCAGCAGAAGCCGCAGTATCAGCAGCGGTATCAGCACCAGCAGCAGCTGTAGCAGCAGTAGCAACAGTAGCAGTAGTAGCAGTAGCAGTAGCAGTAGCAGTAGCAGTAGCAGTAGCAGTAGCAGTAGCAGTAGCAGTAGCAGTAGCAGTAGCAGTAGCAGATAGTAGTCGTAGTAGTAGCAGTAGCAGTAGCAGTAGCAGCAGCAGTAGCAGTAGCAGTAGCAGTAGCAGTAGCATTGGTAGCAGTAGTGGCAGTAGTGGCAGTAGTGGCAGCAGTAGTGGCACTAGTAGTAGTAGTAGTAGTAGTAGTAGTAGTCGTAGTCGTAGTCGTAGTAGTAGTAGTAGTAGTAGTAGGAGTAGGAGTAGTAGTAGTAGTAGTTGTAGAAGTAGTAGTAGCACTAGCAGTAGT